AAGGAAGGAAGGAAGGAAGGAAGGAAGGAAGGAAGGAAGGAAGGAAGGAAGGAAGGAAGGAAGGAAGAAAAGGAAGGAAGGAAAGACAGACAGACAAGAGCCTAGCCCAAAAAGGAGCACGCAGACTCTAAGCATTAAATGTGATGGAGTGAGGTGCTTGGACGTTGTTCTCAAGCCCCACAAGTCTGACAAGTTTGTCTGTGCCTGTGTGTGTGTGTGTGTGTGCGCGCGCGCGCACAGGAGACCAGAGCTACTCCAGAGGGCACTTTTTCACAAAGAACCAGGCCACACTGGCCCAGGCTGAGTCAAATGACTGCCCTGAACTCCGCCTCCTCTGAGTTCCCTGTCTGATTGGCGGCCTGAGTCATTGCTTATTTTTTGAGGGGTGGAACAAGTAGGTCCTGAGGATGGAGCCCAGGGCTCCCACATGCCAGGCAAGCTCTGCCGCTGAGCTGCAGCCCAGGCCTCTTTTTGCCGTTGAAGTTTGAATGGGTATGAATTCACTCTACAGTCCCTGAAGGTTGATCCTCCCCTCTCAGCCTCCCGGATTAGCTGCGAATGTAGACCAGCACCACCAGGCCCGAGACTAGAAGTGATGATCCCTCTGGGGTGACCCAGGGTGATGCCCAACGGGCTGGCACACCTGCAGTCCAGCTACTCAGGAAGCTGGGGCAGGAGGGTCTGAATCCAAAGTTAGCCTGGGCTTCGTAAAAAAAGAGAGAAGCAGAGAGTTAGGAGAGAGATACCTCAGTCCACAGAGTGCAGCCACACCAGCATGAGGACCTGGGTGTAATCCCCAGCACCCACATAGGAGCTCAGTGCTTGTAAGCCCAGGGCTGGGGAGACAGAAGCAAGAGGAGCCAAGCCAAGCCCAGGTCCAGGGAGAGACCTTGCCTTAAAAAGCATAATCGGATCTGCAAGATGGCTTTGCAAGGAAAGGCGCTTACCACCAAAGCTGACAACCTCAGCTGGTCCCTGGGACCCACATGGTAGAAGAGAAATGACTCTCAGAGGATGTGCTCTGATTTCCACACATTTGCTGGGGCACACACACACAAATAAATGTGTGAAAAACCAAACAGACAGACAGACAAAAAAACCAAGTGAATGGCTCCTGAGAAATACTATACACCTCTCTCTCTCTCTCTCTCTCTCTCTCTCTCTCTCTCTCTCTCTCTCTCTCTCAAAAGAGGTAAATGATTAGAACAGGACCCTATCCCTCGAGAGCTGTGGATGTGCTTGCTATGATATTATTACAGGAAGCCTGTCTCAGATGTGCTGTTTAGAGGCCACCTAGCTGGGTCACTGTGAAATTTGTATTTCTTGTTGAGGGAGAGTCACCGAAGTCTGGGAAACCAGGCCCTCTCGGTCCTCAGTGGGAACAATGGCGCTTTGAGGGTCCTGAACAGCCCTTTGTTGAGGCCACCTTCTCCGGTTTCCCCTTGGACCAGCTGCTCATCTCCCTCCTTGGCAGCCAGGCTTGGCGGCTGCGCCTCCCTCTCTTGCCACAGGCTGGGCAGCCGCCTGCAGAGAGAACCCCAGCAGTGGATGGGGCCGTTTGTCCTTCCGTCTTCTTCCACTCAGGTCTCAGCGTCACTGGCCTGTAGGGAGAGGGACTTAGGATAAATAGTGATTAACCAGGCCTTGGCTGTGTGCCAGGCTCTGGCCTGAGGACTTCTCAAGCATCCTTGTACTGATTATCTCAGAAGAGCCAGGAGGTCCTTCTAGAAGTGAGCTGAACTGAAGAGGAAACTGAGGCACAGAAAGGTTGTGACTTGGTGTGACATCTGGTGAGTGTCACAGTCAGGACTCGATACCAAGGCCCTTGAAGCAAGGGTTTGCTCTAAGCTGTGGCTAGCTTTGACACGGGGCTATCTCAGTCTCCCAGGTATTACAGACATGTATTACCACACACAGGAGTATCAGGCCCCTTGAATCTAGAATGTGTGCGTCCCCAGTCTCAGTGCCCATGACCTCCAACCAGACCAGGGCCAGTGACGTCCTAAAAAAGCTGTGGCTAGGCCTAGGCTGTGGCTTTTTTTTTTTTTTTTTTTTTTTTTTTGGACCGATTTTTGTTTTGTTTCTTTGTTTTTAGAGACAGGGTTTCTCTGTGTAGCCCTGGCTGTCCTGGATCTCACTCTGTAGACCAGGCTGGCCTTGAACTCACAGAGTTCCACCTGCCTCTGCCTCCCAAGTGCTCGGATTAAAGGCATGTGCCACCACGCCCAGTTTAAACATTGTAAGTGTATGTGTATGTGTGTGTGTGGTGTGTGTATTAGTGTAGGTGCATGTGTGTGCTTGGCAGAGGACCGTGTTCAGGAGTTCTCGTTCTACCATGACGTTTCTCAGAATCAAACTCAGGCCTGCAGCAGGCAAGTGCCTCTACCCTTTGAGCCATCCCACCGGCCCCTGTGGCAGGCTTTGACCTTTGTTCACACTTGTTGTCCCTTAAACAGAACACCCCAGGGGGGGCCAATTCTTGGGACAGCACACTTGTGTCTGTCCATCAGCTGACAGACAGATGCCAGGGCTCTGTGTCGCTGGGCTCCCTGCCAGCCAGCAGCTGAGGCAGCGACAGGGCTATTTCCGGCCAGCCGTGTGCTTGTGAATGGATTCGACCGTATCAGGCCCATCTTCCTTTCTTTTTCTTTGTTTTTCCAGTCAGGATTTCTCTGTGTAGCCCTGGCTGTCCTGGAACTTGCTCTGTAGACCAGGCTGCCCTTGAACTCACAGAGATCCTCCTGGCTCTGCCTCCCGAGTGCTGGGGTTAAAGGCGTACACAACCATTGCCATCTTCTTTTCTAAGAACTATTAAAAACTGGGAGCAAAACCCTCATAAGAATACAAACCAGCCGGGTGGTGGTAGCACACCCCTTTAATCCCAGCACTTGAGAGGTAGAGGCAGGCGGATCTCTGTGAGTTCGAGGCCAGCCTGGTCTACAGAGTGAGTTCCAGGACAGTCAGGGCTACACAGTGAAAATCTCACTTGAAAACCAAAACAAAAAAAGAATACAAACCATGGGTCTGAGGAAGTTTAATCCAGTTGAGGGGCTAGAGACGTGGCTGAGTTGGTAGAGTGCTTGTTTAGCATGCACAGAGCCCTGGGTTCGATCCCCTACACCACATACAGAAACAGGGCATGGCCAGACATGGTGTCATGCATCTTTCATCCTAATACTCAGGAGGCAGAGGCAGGTAGGTCACTGTGTTCAAAGACAGCCAGGCTCATAGTGAGACCCTGTCTCTGAGAGAGAAAAGAAAAATCTGGGCATGGTGGTGCATGCCTGTAATCCCAGCACTTGGAGATGGAAGCAGGGGAATCAGAAGTTCAAGGTCATCCTTGGCTGCGCAGTGAATTTAAAGCTTGTCTGAAATACATGAGATCCTGTCCAAAAACCAAAAGCAAACAAACAAAAAAGAGGTTATTTAGTGCAGCTGACTCCAAGGGGCAGACTCTCTGGTGGCTTCTGTGTGAGCACAGCAGTGTGAAGGAAAGAGTAGAACATGCTGGAAATGGGTCATCTGAAGGTGAAGCCTATCATCCCAGTGCCTGGGAGGCTGAAGCAGGAGGCTCAGGATTCCAGACTACCTGCCTAGATAGGGAGACACTGTCTCAAAACCAAAGAAAATAACAGCAGGCATGCTGGCACACACCATAGCCCCACCACCCGAGGGGTGTGTGTACGGTGCCCTCAAGGGCCAGAGGCGCTGGCTGCCATGGAGCTGGAGTTATCGGGTGCGGGGCACTGCCTGGCCTGGGTGCGGGGCACTGCACTCGGGTCCCCTGGGAAAGCAGCAGGTGCTCCCAACCTCAGCCTTCTGTGCAGCCCTCCCCTTTCTGTTCGTCTTGTACTGGAGACAGGGTCTCCCTTCCTGGCCCTGGATGGCTGGAACTCACTGTGTAAACCAGGGTCTCACAGAGAGCTGCCTGCCTCTGCCTCCCCTGTTCTGGGACTGCAGAGTGCACCAACATGCCGACTCCTTAGCTCAGATTTTAAAGAGAGAGAGATTTAAAGCCAGCTATGATGGCACACAGTTTTAATCACAGCGTTTGGGAGGCAGAGGCAGGCAAATCTCTGTAAGTTCAGGGCCACCCTGGTCTACATAGCCAGTGCTAAGCCAGTCAGGGCTACACATTGAGACTTTGTCTCAAAAAAAGAAAATTATTTAAAAGTAATTTTTAAGTCATACACTATTGTGTCCTGAAGGTAAGCTGTCACCAGGGTTTGGTTTGGGTTGGTTTTCAGTTCTCAGAAGACTGGCCAGCTCTGTAGTGCTGAGCGGGCTGCAGCATTCTCCCCAGACTTCACCTACTGGCCTCCACTCCTCTGCTGTCCCTTCTGGTTGGCTGTGCTCCCCGTAATGTGGGGCTGCCAACGCTGTCCTCCCCACCTGCAATACGAGTGGGAGGAGAAACCCTGTCACACGATAGAAACTCTCTCTTGCAGGTCGCAGGGTCATCTGTTTGGTGGGAGCTGGAATCTCCACATGTAAGTGCCCCTCCTTCCAGCCACTCCCGGGGTGTGGGAGCCCTGGGAGGGTTTGCGCATATATGGGGCTAGAACCTCTAACTGAGTGCTCCTCCCTAGCTGCGGGTATCCCTGACTTCCGCTCCCCATCCACCGGCCTCTATGCGAACCTGGAGAAGTACCGCCTTCCTTACCCGGAAGCCATCTTTGAGATCAGTTACTTCAAGGTACGCAGCTGAGATGGGGGGGGGGGGGAGTTCCTACCTCCAGGCCCTACCTTACCTGGCGTGTGGCCCTCTGCTTCTCTCCTACAGAAACATCCAGAACCCTTCTTTGCCCTTGCCAAGGAGCTCTACCCCGGGCAGTTCAAGGTGAGGTCTTTTTCTGCAGGGGAGATTGGGACAAGCAGATGTGGGAAGGAGGATCCTTATAGACCAGCATTGTATGACTATTAAGAATCCAGGCTCTGGGGCTGGCGAGATGGCTCAGAGGTTAAGAGCACTGCTTGCTCTTCCAAAGGTCCTGAGTTCAATTCCCAGCAACCACATGGTGGCTCACAACCATCTGTAATGAGATCTGGTGCCCTCTTCTGGCCTGTGGGGATACATACAGACAGAACAATGTATACATAATAAATAAATAAATCTTTAAAAAAAAAAAAAGAATCCAGGCTCTGGAACCGGCAAGGTGGCTCAGTGGGTAAAGGTGCTTGCCACCAACCCTGACGACCTGAGTTCAATCCCCAGAACCGACATGACTGAGGAGAGAACTGACTCCCACATGTTATTCTCTGACTTCCACATATGCACTGTTGCAAGTGCACCCCTCCCATATAAATATGGAAATAAATAAATACTATTTAGGGGGAGGGGCATAAATTCTGGCCAGATGTGGTAGTGCATGCCCGTAACTGTAGCATTTGGGAGGCAGAGATGGGAAACTTTCAAATGCAAGGTCAGCCTAGACTACATAGACCTTGTCTCAAAAGTAAAAGAAAAAAAAAAGATTAAAAAACTAAAAAGGTGGGAGAGATGGAGAGATGTGTTTAAGAGCATGTGGTGCGCTTGTAGAGAACCAGCACCCATGTGAGGAGGCTGGGACTCCAGCTCCAGGGAGTCCGGCACCCTCAGTGGGCACTGGGACTCACGTGCACATACCCACGCAGACCCCCCCACAGTAACTAAAAATGATAAAATATTTGATAAGAGAGAGGAAGGCCTGGTGTGGTGGTGCACACTCTTAGTCCAAGCGCTTGGTGGCCTGGAGCACCCACATGGCAAGTTACAGCTGTCTGGAACTCCAGTTCCAGAAAGTCCAACACCTTCCTGCCAACACATGCAGGCAAAACAGCAGTCAATGCACATAAAAGAAAGAAATTGATTTTTTAAATCCCTGGGCCAGCTGGTGGTGTTGCATGCCTTTAATCCCAGCACTCGGGAGGCAGAGGCAGGAGGATCTCTGTAAGTTCGAGGCCAGCCTGGGCTACCAAGTGAGTCCCAGGAAAGGCGCAAAGCTACACAGAGAAACCCTGTCTCAAAAAAAAAAAAACCCCAAAAAAAAATAAAAAGAAAAAAGAAAAACAAACTGAATAAATACTAAACAATTTTAAGAAATTCAAGGAGAGGAGGAGGAATGGATTGCTGCCTGCCCGGCCTGGCCTCCCTTCTGGCCCTCACCTCTTTACTTTGTGGCTCTGAGCCTCAGTTTCCCCACCTGTGAGACAAAGCTGCTGAGAGTCTCCGAAAGGGCTGAGGCCGGAGCCTGGCTATGACCCTAACTGTGCAGTTCGCCGATTGGCGATGCCAGCAAGCCACCACCATGCCCCGGATGGTCTCCTCGTCGTCGGTGACAGGGAGAGTGCTGTGCTCATCCTCACTGGGCAAGGGTGGCCCTGGGGTAGAATGGGCGTGTGATTGGCTTCGTCCCTGGGACGGCCATGGGACGGCCGTGGACATGGCCATCAGCATTGTTACTCTCTTCCAGCCGACCATCTGCCACTACTTCATCCGCCTGCTGAAGGAGAAAGGGCTGCTGCTGCGCTGCTACACGCAGGGGGGGGGGGGGGGGGGGGGGGGCGCGGGGCGGGGCGGGGGGCAGGGCCGGGGCTGGTGCGTCGGTTGGGTGGGTCTTGGAGCCCTCAGTCAGAGCCGGGGTGACACAGGCAGGCACAGGGCCAGCGACCAGGGTTTAGCTAACTGTAGTGAGTGATCTTCAGTGAGCCACTCCTTTTAGCCTCAGTTTCCCCTTTATAAAAATGGGTCAGAAACTGGGCAAGTTGGTACTTAGGGAAGTGGAGACAGAAGGAGTGGAAATTCAAGGTCATCCTTGGCTACAAAGTGAGTTTGAGGCCAGCCTTCGGGATGTGAGGCCTCGTCTCTAAATTAATTGATCAGTCAATTAATTCATTAAAATATAAACTAATACATAAAAGAACTTTTTAAAAGAATTTTTCAATAACAAAAAAAGCCAAAACAGCTTCAGGCCCTCTGAGGTTTATTGTGAGGTGACAGTACAGTCCCATCAGGTCACCCCATGCGTACTGCAAAAGGACACCTGCAAAAGTCTGAGGGGACACCATCCATCCCACAGCCAGCCATGCCAAGTCTGCAAACTGGGACAGTTTTCTAACTGGTGCAAAAAAAAAAGGTGTGCTTTTTATGACTTGCATAGTTCCGAGCCTGGCCTTGAACACAGTGGCTAATAGGACGCTGTGGCCACACTGGAGTATTCGGAAGGGTGCTCAAGCTGCTGGTAGTCAGAAGGAAGAAAAAGTGTGTGCCTCTACCTGTCTCATCCATGTATTGACGTTCAGACTGCTCTGCGGCAGTCTACATGTGTGCTATAAATTACGCCTCAGAACACAAGCTGGCTGAGCATGGTAGCACACACCTGTAATTCCAGCACTTGGCATGCTGAGTTCAAGCCCAACATCATGAGTTCAAGGCCAGCCTAGGCTACATAGTGAATTCAAGGTCAGATTTGTTCCAGAGCCAAACTTTACCCCTGCCCCCGCCAAAAAAATTAAAAAGGAAAAACAGAACTCCAAAACTTACAGAAGAGTTAATGCTTGAATACAAAGAGGTATTGTTTTCTTCAGGCAACCCGATGAGGTACCTGCAAAGTCAGAAATGGCCACCAGGGGGAGGATGAATTCTTTTGGGGCCAGATGGCTGGAGGCCCTAGTTGGGGAAGGGACAGCTCAGCCCTCAGGTGCTGCCCAAGCCCAGGACACTCCCGACTCAGCCCCATTCACAGAACAGGGCCCAGGCCTGATGCTGACACAGAACAGGGCCCAGGCCTGATGCTGACACAGAACAGGGCCCAGGCCTGATGCTGACACAGAACAGGGCCCAGGCCTGATGCTGACAGCCTCCTTAAAGCCCCACACTCCCTGCATGCGGTTGTTTGCCAGCTTCGGTGACAGCAGACGTCCACCCGGTGCTGAGCACTGCCCCTGTCACACTCTCATGTGTGTGACACATGAAGGAGGGGCGAGTCACAGACCTCGTGTGTCAGATGGAACCAGTCCTCTGAGTCACACAGGAGGCCAGTCAAGTCTGTGTGAGCGGATGCTGGTGTGCACAGGGTAGGCATGGAAGCCTCACCCAGAGGGTGGCATTGAAGCAAAGCCCTGAGAACTGGGAGAGAAGGAATCTTCAGGCAGAGCTCACTATGGGTGTGTGTGGGGACAGGGACAGGGAGCCGCAGAGAGCAGACAAGAAGCTGCCATGTTTGTCCAGCCAAAGTGGATGGGAGACGGACCTTTGGTGAGGGCCATTGAGGAAGAACAGCAGGAAGACTAGGCATCTCGTTAGAAGATGAAGCCTGGATGCTGGGGTGTTCCTCGTCTGAGTACCTCCTGTGCTTTCCTGAGACTGTTGGAAGGGAGGTGTCTGGGAGATGGCATTCTGCCTTGAGACCCTGGGAGAGAGCTACGTAGAGGGTGGGGGGCGGTTGGACATGGACCTGGGCTGAGCAGAGAGGCAATAGCTGGAGAAGCAGCAGATGGGCATTGACTCAGCAGACGGAGTGAAAAACTGAGGCCTCCGACAAAGCCAGCTGGGAGTGACAGCTGCCAAGTGCCCTGAGTGCTGGCATGTTCAGATTTCACCAGAAGGCCAGCACAGGCGTGCTCAGTGTGAAATGTGCAGGTATCTGACAACTACCTGCAGTTTTTATTTTATTTGTATATATTTTGTTTTGTTTTGTTTTTTTGAGACAGGGTTTCTCTGTGTAGCTTTGCGCCTTTCCTGGAACTCTCTCTGTAGCCCAGGCTGGCCTCGAACTCAGAGATCCGCCTGGCTCTGCCTCCCAAGTGCTGGGATTAAAGGCGTGCGCCACCACCACCCCACTACCTGCAGTATTTTTTTAAGCTTTAATTTAGTTGGTGTGTGTGTGTGTGTGTGTGTGTGTATGTGTGTGTGTGTTTCCAAGTATGCACACACATGTGCAGGCAGGCCACATAAAAAGTTTGGAGGCCCCAGGACAACTTGCAGTCAACTCTCTCCTTCTGTCACATGGGTTCCAGGGGTGGAACTCAGATCATCAGGTTTGGTGGCAAGCACCTTTATCTGCTGACCCATCTCACTGACCCCACACATAAACTTTTTTTTAAATTTTTTAAATTACATTCATGATATTCATTACTTACACTCATGATATTAATCGCATTTGTGGTATTCATAGATTACATTTGCAGTATTCATTCAATTATATATATATTTTTTAATTTTACATGCCGAATGCCATTTATTAAAGGAGGGAGGAGGTCTTACATACAGGCTTACAGCACAATGGGAGGACCCCAGAGGGCAGAAGTTCGCTACTGATGTTTTACAATCTTGCATCTAAGCTGTTAATGCCCATTATTCAGGATACACAGACAAGGAACTTCCCTTAAGCATTCAGGAGGGTGGAACCTGACAGGGAATTAGCATAGGGGGGATATCAAGGTCAAAGTCCACAAGCAAGGCAACAGTTACCCAAAACGGGGGCCAGGGCCCTGCAGGTCCCCCTTTTATTAAAAAATGAGCTTCTGACTTGGGTTGCGTGGGACGTCAGCAGGTCACCTTACCCATCGTGGAGACACCTGCCCAGGCCACCACACATACACATTTTTTGTTTGTTTGTTTGTTTTTGTTTTTTGTTTTTTCGAGACAGGGTTTCTCTGTGTAGCTTTGTGCCTTTCCTGGAGCTCACTTGGTAGCCCAGGCTGGCCTCGAACTCCCAGAGATCCGCCTGGCTCTGCCTCCCGAGTGCTGGGATTAAAGGCATGCGCCACCAACGCCCGGCCACACATACACTTTTAAGAGGGTTTATTTTTATTTTATGTGTGTCTGTGTATCATGTGCATGCAGTGCCCACAGTGGCCAGGAGAAGGCGTTAACAGGTGGTGTGAGCTGCTGTGCAGGTGCTGGGAACCCAGCCTGGGTCTTCCGTGAGAGAAGCAGCACTCTCAACTGCTGAGCCATCCCTCCAGCCCCCACACAGGGATTTTTGAGTGACTTATGTAAAACATCTAGCGGTGGAAAAGAATGTTCACCTGCCCACTCTGCGGTCTTTTCTCTTGGGCACTCGGCCCTCCTCCTCCTCCTCCTCTTCCTCCTCCTCCTCAGTCACTGTTTGAGTCACTGACCCGCCTTCTCAAGCACAGCAGCTTTGCTTCTGCGTTGTGCCAACGCAGCATCTCTGAAGCTGTGTGCTGCTATTTTCAGCTCAGGACACAGGAACCCATTCACACATTCAGACAGTTGTCGTGATCACTCAAGCCACTGTGGTCCCCACAGAGTGACGGCTGCAGATCTTTCAAATTGAATGTTGAAATTCACAATACAGAGGTTCTCTTCAAGCTCCTTTTCCCACTCAGCCCCTTGTCTGGGCCCCTTCTGCGCACACTACACAGCAGCCCCATGCTTTTTACAAGCTGAAGATTAATCTTTTTTCCTTTTTTTCCCCCATGGGCCTGGGGTGGGGGTGATGTGTGCATGGGGAAAGGGGGCACGGGGGGGGGGCGGGGGAGGGCAGGGATTGCTCTGCCACTGAACCACGCCCCAGCCCCTCACTGGGGGATTCTAGGCAGGGGCTCTACCACTGAGTCACACCCCAGCCCCTCACTGGGGGATTCTAGGCAGGGGCTCTACCACTGAGCCACACCCCAGCCCCTCACTGGGGGATTCTATGCAGGGGCTCTACCCCTGAGCCACACCCCAGCCCCTCACTGGGGGATTCTAGGCAGGGGCTCTACCACTGAGCCAC